TTTATTCATAAAGGGCATGAAGAAAAACCCTCTGACGATGCTTCCAATGTAAGAGATTGGGACAGTCCTAATTAATATAAAAATGTATTCAGTCTGAATTTGGTCATAATAAAGTGGGCGATAGTTTAATCAACCTCTACTCAAAAAGAAACACAAATGAGGGAAACTGTGCCATAAATGCTAACTCAGACTGCTGAAAGCTCATTTAAATTATACATTTGCAAATAGAAAAATTACACTGGATTTAGATTCAAATCACAGTAAAAGGAAATCTTTTGACGGCCAGTTTGTGCAGAAATAGAGCTGTCGGGAAAATCCAATATTGATAAGTGTAATTTGAAAAAAAAAAAATTATTGCTATCATTAAATTTTAAACATATAATCCTTTATTTCTTCCAGTTGTGGTGCATTAACTATCTGGGTCACACTCCAACATGATAAGTTTTAGTTCGTAGGGTAGAATCAATAAATATAACTATATGCTGAGCAAAACTCCTCTCTCTCTGATTATGGCTCACATGGAATCTATTCTTTAATATGTCTTCATGGTGTTGGATATTATGGATGAGCTATGGATTTATCACAGCCACTTACATTTGTGTATTTCATAATTTCTTTTAGTAGCATAATTATATGCAATGTATAGCTTAAATTTGAAATGAAAAATAATTGATTTGTTTATGTGTATGCAAAGTATTTTTAAATGAAATGAACTGACACTTGTAGTATCTGTTCCCTACAGAATACACGTAGAGAAAATTAGGTGTAAGATGTGCAGTCTCAGTGGTATTAATGATGATTATACAAACATACCTGGAAGACTAGGCCCTTCTTGTCGGCACTCTGCAGAGAAAAGTTACTCAGCCTCAAGTAGCATGTGCCGTACTGGGCCACCTCCCTCAAGAGACGAGACACGCTCTCTGGAGAGGCTCCTGAGATGCACACTCCAGGCCGGACGTCAAACTGAACACTCTGGGAAGCAGATTACATATTTACAGATGGTGGCCGAACATAGAGAGAATAAGTGTACGGTCTAATAACATCCAATAAAATATCCTTGCAGCAAAGACGGTCTTACTTAAGCTCATGTTATTGAATTTTTGTTGAGATTGTCAGAGTCACCTCCATGGTGATTTCTGAAGGTATGGTGGTGCATATATATCTGACTGAATTACATAGCCAGACATTTGTTATTTTGTCCATCTCGTTGTTTTATTAGAGCTGGACAAGAATTCCTTCCGGGATGACAAAAACAATACAGACAGTATTATGCACCATCACACACCACAGCTTCAAAGATTACCTTTGAGTTAAATAAACACTTCTCCGACCGCCTGAAGAGGTATCTGACATAACACATCAAGAATTTGATGCATGACAATTTTATTTAATCACATTATATTGTAACGTTTTTCAAGGTATTGTGTCCATATTTTGTTCGAGCCTCCATGTTAATGATAAATGTCTGCTAGAGAAACAACGTAAAGGGCTAAGAGAGTAATCAAGGGATTTGTGATTCGATTTAAGTTGTAAAAAATAATTGGAATCTTCTGGAAATATAAAAACTTAATGGGGAACAATAAAGCAACAGAAAAGCTCTCTGGTGGTTGTTTTGGCATTGAGAATATTTTCATATATATCTTCATTTAATCTTTCATGACTCAAGTGTATGCTTGACACTGTCACATTTTGTCTTGTTTTATTGTTACAAAGTAAATGTGCATATATAAATCAACTGCGTCTCTTTGTTTATCAAACATGTATGAATTGTCTGTAGATTCTCATTCCCCGATTCCCTTTGCTCTAGTATGATTCAGTAATTATATGCCGTCGCAGCGCTTTTATAACTTCCCTCATGTTTATCTCTTCGGTGTGACAGAACCCTAAAACAACCATCATTTTCTTTTTATTGCATATTAAAGACTAGGAAATGAAAATTATTAAATGCACCTGGTTAAGAGGGAAGGTTGTGGACGCCACTCCAATCAGGACGTTGAGGAGGTTGGATACCAGTTGTGTCTGTGAGTCCAGTGGGAGGACAGGGGAGGGGGTACCAGTGCTCACCACCCTCATCTCCCCCTCCCAAAGACGATAGAGCTGGTCGAAGGCCTCCCTGCCTCCCTCAGTTAGGTAGAGAGACTCAGTTTTCCCTGGTGGGCTGGTGAGAGAAACAGAGTGGCATTCGGCATTAGTTCTGCTCGAGAAGGGGAGAGTGAAAACACACTAGGTTGATCACGCTTCTAACATGAGACAGTTGCATTAATGAAAAAAACTAAAAGAAAACAAATATAGCAGTGACACATATGAAGTAGACATCTATGAAGATGTGGAGCCGATTCTCTGGATTTTACCTGCAGGTCATGTCTCAATTGCATCTTCTACTTTGTTTAATTTGACTTGGTTGCATTGTTGTATTGTAGCAGTATATATATATATATTGTGATATAAGCATTGAAGACTTCATCTAATTCATTACTGATTAATCAATATATCCAAAATAATCAATTGGTTGACCAGTGAGGAAAACAATGACATCATAAGCAAATTAAATAATTAATTACATGACATTAAAATCTTCACTGGGGAGTAATTTGACAATGACAATGATGAAGGTGCTTTTTAAGTTCCGACAGAGACGTGGCACTAACCATCCCACAGACTCCCAACAGCGGCGTCTTCCGGGCTCAAAAGTGCGGACAGCCTCCCATATATCAATGTCTGGAACGGGGCTGGGCTCTGACTGAGAGTCTGGGGTCAGGTTGGACGAAGACTGGAAGCCCTCATCCTCAGACTGATCTGAACAGGAGGGGACCTGCAGAGAGATAATAATACTGACTAACACCTCTTTAATCAAACAATGGCACAACTATAAACCCTACCTCAGGCTGAACTAGGTACATGACAAAAAAGTCTCAAAATAAACAATGTGTAGTAGCTAGGATACTATCGTAAGCCATAGTGTCCTACCCTGATAGCCAGCCCAGTTACATCAATATTACTGGGAACAGGAGGCAGGTCCAGTCTTATATCTATGTCTGAAGTGCGAGTGTGCTGCAGTGCTCCAAACAGTGTCATCCTGGTCTCCTTCTCAAATCTTTCTTCCACTTCCAATTTGGTCCTCAGAGCTAACAGCCCTGTACCTGGAGGGGCATCCATCAACCTCTGAGTTCCACACAAACTCTCCAAAGTCCCCCATTCCTCCCCGCACACTAGCCCCCACGCCCTGGCCTCTAGCCGCTGAAGCTCTTCGCTCTGGTAGCCCCAGGGTTGAGGCCTCCGCAACACGGGCCGCTCTCGTCTCATGTAGTCCCTGTTGAAAGAGGTAGAGGGTGGAGGTGCAGAACCAGCTAGGTGCACAAGGAGCTCAAGAACTGCATCTATTTCCTTCAGGCCAGAGGACGATTCCTCCGGCAGCCTCCCAAGCTGTTCCTCCAACCTCTCTGCTTCCTCTCTGCACCCTGCCACCCGCAAGTCGAAACATATCATCAGGACTTTGTTTCTGGGCGGCGTACGAACTGTGGCACTCGGTGCTGAAGATGAAACTTTGCTGCCATCTAGAAATAGTTTGGCGAGCAGGGCACCGTAAGCACGCCTCTTGAGAGCTCTACGGAATCCTTCTCTTGAGACCCCACCCAGGGCTCGACGCTTCCATGATACTCCAGACAGGCTGCAGTCACACAGGGTGCCCAGCAGCTCAGTGATGCTGCTGCTGTTGTAGCTGGGCTTCATGGGGTGATTAGGGCTTGAGTACATGGTTCCACTGTTGCCTCAGCCTGTAGTAGGGAAATAAAATGATGTTAGTGGGGACAGTTCTGTTTCCTTTCAAAAGATGCTCAGCAGTAGGATGAAAGGTAAAAGGTCAGCATTTATAGAGTGATATTCTGGTCTTGATGAAAACTCTAAGCTCTTTACAGTACGGTTTTGCCATTTATCATTCACACACATTCATTCAGTGCATATATGAGCAGCACTTTCTCTATCACACATCTCTCATGCCACAGCTGTCAATACAACATCACAGTAAATGTTTAGCTAAACTTCAGACAATATCAGGACGGTCGAGCACATCCAGGACAAAGTTTTACCTTAGTTTAGATAAACAAGGTGCACCAGAGGCAGCTAAGCCAACATTTAGCTATGCTAACTTAGGCAAACGTTTAAAGCATCTAACTGCATGTTTGATTAGCAAACCAGTACCAAGCTCAAATGCTCTTTAATACGATTTACCTTCCTGGTTTGGTTTGTTATCAGTTGATTCAGGTGACAGCTTCAGGCTCGTATCCATCGCAGGCGACTGCTTCCCATGCATGCTCCTGTTTGTTATTAGCCAGCTACATCTGTACCAACACGTTTCCGTGTTGAGTTCAGCTGTGGAGCACACGGAGCTCAGTGGGTGGAAACTCTGAGCAGCTTCTTCAGTGTCTTTAGCATCCAGTGGTTTCTTGTTTCTGAGCTTTACAGCCAGTTTGTAAACCCCAATGTAGCTGTAGCTAGCAAGAAGCTAACGGTTAGCTTCATTCATCTGTCAGTGTCTATTGCGGCGCTACAACAGTTGGAACCCGCCCCCTTGAATATGATTGGAGATTAGATTATTCAGCCTGTGGCGATTGGTTCAGAGTGTCGCAGCGGCTGAAGTGATTGGTCGTGGTTGCTTGTCAATCAAACGAGGGTAAAACTGTTATTCGCCACTACGTATGGCTGCGTTCAGGTGAAAAGTAAAATGTGTAAATATGAACTTCGTACGGTGAATTTCAATTATAGCCTACTTGCAGTCGACATAATACGCTGTACTCGATTTAGTCTAAATAAGCAAAGAGATTTTTAAAGTGTGACTATCCTGCATTTCGAAATTTGATTTGAGGTCATAATACAACAGCACTACTGACGGGGATTGACATTTTTTGGGGTGACACTGTAACGTTAAGCCTATTATAGAATATAAAATTAAACATATCAACATCTAGCAGCTTATGTTTTTGCTGTGAGTAAGCAAACCAAAAAAATAAACACGATTTACAGAACACAGCAGCTCAGTTGCTTTAAATTTGCTTTTAACAAAAAATTACTTCGTTGCTCCCATGGACAGTTAATGCATCATCTACGTATTTAGAAACGCGGGATTTAGAAACTCGTGAATACTCGTGAATCTACAGCGAGCACACAAGAGACTGGCTGTGTTTGTGGAGGTGAGAAGCATCTGGAGTTTAAGTTAATACCCTATGGTTAACACTCACAGGTTCTTGTTTACCGACTGAATAGACACCTGATCATCACTGTATGATCACATTTTATTACATACATTTACTATGGATTACTATTTTCTGGAGTTATTTAATTCACATGAAGGACTCAGTGGTCTGAGAAAGATGTTGTTTCAAATAAATCTACCTTACTACAGCTCCATCCCCTGACCAGCAATGCACTTTGCGTAATCGTGCTCTAGTTTTGTTCATTATATTAAAGGGAAGTTAAACTGAGGTGAAAATGATTAGTCTTCATTTTAATTTGAGTTGAAGCTCACTTTAAACTTCAGAAGTCTCTCTCACACACACATATCTCTTTTATTAGAAAGGAATTTCTCCAGAAGATTAAAGTGTGAGCAATAACTCTGTACCTAAGAATGAGACAGATATGAAAAACTGTGAACCTATCCTTCATTAAGACACTATCATCCCACAGATCTTACCAAGTATGCAGCCCATGAATTCTGTTGTTCTGTTATATGATAAAGTCAAATTGGAGACATCTTATCCATCCGTTATGTACCAGATCAAAAATTCATTTTTACAATTACTGTTCACCCTGGGGATGCTGCAGGGTGTAGAGTATGGTCAAATATGAGAGAAAGTGCATAGAGATAGAGAGAAATATGCTTCAAAGAAAGCTAGAACTCAAATAACACACTAAAAGCCTCTCAGATAAAAGTAGCATTTAAAAAAAAAAGGACTTTAAAGAAATCTTTGAGTTAGCTGACCTGGTTTCCTCAGGCAGATCGTTTCAGAGCCTCAGGGCCTCTCTATGTTTCTGAAATGGACAAGACCTCTGACCGAGGTACATGTTATATCAAATTGGAGATTTTCCACCTGAGCTTGGAAAATATGGCCTCAAATACTAGAACCCTGTGATCCTTGAGAATGAGCAATAACATGTGTTTATTACATATAGCATTGTTAAGCTTGAAGCATTTGGAAATCCTTGAATGACACTAAGTGGTGCACCAAGACTCAACAGTCCTCTCATGAGACGTTTAAATTCACTAGATCCACATTTTTATATGGATCTGCACCGAATTAAACACACTCATAAACATCAGTCCTCTAGAAATGCCTGATTCTTTTCAAAAAGATCCATGAAATACTCTGAACCCAAACACCCAAACCCAAAATGATAAATAAAGCTAAAAAACATTTCTAGAATCTGCCCACTAATCTGGATCCATACTGCGTCCTTCCACCAAGTTTAATGGTAATCCTGATAACTAATACACAAACACAGACAAAAAACATAACCTCCTCTGCAGAAGTTATTATTATCCTTAATGTGGAGCCATTGTGCAAATAACTTTCCGAATTTCTGTATTTACACTGTATTTTTTATTCTTGTACAGAATGCAGGTTTTTACCTAATTAATGAAACTATTTTCTATCATTTCAATTTTTCTGGTTGTATTTGTGTTGCTTGTTACTTCCCTACCTCCCACAGAACTGTCTTTAGATAAATCAGCCTGCACTCACTGGACTCTTAGCCCATCAAACTCTCTCATTAGGTGAGCAGATCTAACCACCTGCTGATACAACCTGGGTCGCTGTTGTTTGAAAGAGTTTCAATTCAAACCAATCATGCAGGTCCAAGCCAGTTAAAATGCAAGTTAGCCTACTTTAATTTGCTCTCAGGTTACCACTGAGCTTTGAGAGGGCTGGCATCAGTCAGTGGCGGCTTTTAAATTATTCATCAGAACAACTGTTTAAAAATGACACCGAACCATCATTGTTTTTATTTCCACCAACTTCTCCTCCTCCTCCTCTTTCCCCCAAGGCAGAGGAAATCAAAGCCAAATCTCATTAGAAGCTTTGAAACATGTGGAGGTGAAACACAACCTGCTGGTAAACACACAACTATCTCCCTCTGAAGAAGAGGCTGGCTGCTGAGTGTGAAACATCACAGGCAAGAGAACAGAAGTCTGGCAACATGCAGATTTTAACCTAATTTTTTTATTGTGAGGGAGCCCTGCAAAAAGAATGAATTTAATACGATTACTCTTAGTAAGTGCTGTAGCACCAATTTCCAGAGTTTCAAAGGGCATGGCTATTTAGATATCACAGTGCAGTGCACAGCACATAATATTGACTGTACCGAAATGATGTAAGCTGGATGTCTTAATAGAAATATCAAGTATAGTACTGCCTTTGATTTCCCACCAGTGATCAAGGACGGCGTACAAGATGCAGTGGTTGCGATAATCAAGTCTTCCTTTTGCTGCATCAATGATCTGCTCAGTCAGAAGATGGCAGTTGCCGGCCCCTGGTCTGTCCCTGATGCCTCTGCCCCCGCACTGGGGAGGGTTTGTTTAACATTCAGATGAGGCAATTTTGTCTTTCATTTTCCTTTATTTCCAATTTCATTCTTAGCTGTCAGCACTAAATTAATGTTTTCGCAGCAATTTCTCAACCTTCACCAGCAGTGACAAGAGATGCCGTACGGCTATTTACATTATCTGCTCGTTCTTGGGAAGCCAGACCTTGGCTTCTCGTTTGTATTCCAAGCCCCATGACAGGAACCTGATGTGGCATTTGGAGAAAAAGCATCAGCCATCATGGGGCTGCACTGCATGAGAAGACTGATGCTATTGAGAAAGTCATTTAGGGTCATTATATGCAAGATTGTCTGTGATTAGAAAAAAAAGAACCTGTGAAGTTCAAGCACTTAGCCCTCTTTCATGAAGTGATTGATTGGTTTGAATGGGAGATAATTTTCATAAATCCACCTTTTACTCTTGTGTGTGTATAAGCTCTTCAATGCATCTACGGCCCTGTAATGAGCTGTATAAATACCAAAGTCTCACAGCAAATATTCAATTCACTTCAACAAGAAATTGGCTACCTGTGGCAAGTGTTACTCAATCACCCAAGGTGATTTTAACTCATGCAATATGCATGGAAGGTGAAGGCTCAGTTGAAGCAAATCAATATTCTAAAAGTGAAAAAAACACAGCAGATATGGAGGGCGTATGTCTCTGAGTTTATTCACGGAGGAGTGTATGATGAAACCTGTGGGTAACTGCTCCGTCCACACACACGCACGCACACACAACCTTTGTGAAATTAAAGTTCAGCCAGTACAACCAGATCAGGTACGATCGAGGATCTTCTAAGCTGCCTTGAATGGGGAGGAAATTGTTGCCTTCCATTCATGGTCCTGTATTGAAAATGGAGTGTCCCGGTTTCTTTTATCATTACAGCACATTCACAAGTTTCAAAATGGAAAGTAAGTCTCGACAACTGCACAAACAGGTTTTTTTGTATTGTTTTGTCTTTTCGTTTGTCCCAGGACTCAAATGCATAGGATTATACAGTCAGAATACAGTATTTCAACATGTTTTACAAAGATTTATATGGTATAGCAAACAAGAAATAAAAATAATAACTGCACAGCAGTAAGAAGGGTCATTTGTCGAGTATAGATAATCATTTTTCGTACACACCGTGGAATAGCTTAGAAACACTGGGCAAAAACAATGAACACAGTTGGAACAATTTTGCGCTATATTCAATCTACATAAGGATACCCTTTTGACTCCTGACTAATTTGGGAATGCCATACATTTTTAAGGGAAACCCAAATCACATTGGCCACTGTAATACATTTATTCATTTTGGCTTTTTTTTTTGCCTTAGCCACCAAGTCCTACTAAGCACACACCACAGACACCCAAATAAAATGCACACATCAAAACTGCAACCAGAAAAGAAATCATACTGAAATGTTTTCAGCCTATTGGCACGCAAATGGCTGCAGCAGGGCATCTAGCATTTTAGACAGCACACATAATATCACAAGTCCAAATACATTGCTGTGTCTATAGCACTATCGTCATCATAATCACCTAGTTTAATTTAGAAACAATATATATACTTATATGTATCATCCTATTCAGTAAGGCACGTTTTTGGTTAAAGAAATGCTCGCAAAGAAGCGTCTTGCATCAACTCTGTCAGTGAGCGAGGAGTCAGCAGTAAACAACGGCGGCGACAGGGATGGAGACTGCAGTCGGCATGCAATTAAGATCAAAAGCCTCCCCTGCTGATTCCATTATACAGAGTGCCACTCTGCACTGCGCCGAGTGGGCAGTGCCAAGTGCTGTTGGTCAGAATGCCATGCTGAGACTGCAGGCGGGCGGGCAGGCTCGAGGTCTGTGCAGACCACACTCTATAGCCAAGGCAGGAATCATTAACATTCTAGGGTCTCCAGAGCACGTCACGCTCTGTCAGCTACACGCATCCATGATCAGATACAGGGAGTACAATTAAATAATCTGACGGGAGAAAA